AAAAAAAACAATCGGATATACTTACAAGGTTAGAGTAGGTGTAGCAATTAGAGCAGCCAATGCAGCAGTGAGATGTCCATCACATTCTATGCGTTCACGACATATGAAGGTAGTTATGAGGGTAAGATCTGATGGCGGCAACTTAAGTCCACAACGATGGTACAAGCAGATCATGGAGAGCAACATTTCAGTCAAAGGTTCAGTAGATTGCCTGAATTAGCCTAGCACTTCTAAGTTCTACTTAGAACTTATCGCCTACGTTGATAAACTTACGCAGCCACAGCAGCTCCAATCATAGTCAACAAGCGATTCAAGACAACTGCTGCAGTATGTTTTGCAGCGCTCTTCCCAATCAATGAGGAAATCAATCCTTTTTTATCCAACAGATGTACTCGAAGAAAGTTGCAAACCTTCAAAAAAACACATATTTGCAAACTCACACAAAATAGGAGGAGAATTTTAGATAAAGAAAAATTCCTCACAGCCTTATCATCAAGTCGCTCACAAACCACCCGCGTAGCAAACATGCAATCCTTGCGAGTTTCTGCCATTCGGTTGAGGACAGAGTGAGAGAGAGGAGGATTAAGAGCGACCAACTGAAAATTTGAATGTTTAGTAAGTTTATATAATGAAAGAAAAACAGACTAACGTTCGTGATCGTTGCAAGACGTGCACCAGAGATGACTTGATCGGATGGTGCCATTTCGAGCAAGTGTGATAACAAAGGTAGGTAAAGCTCCGAGATATTCGCAGCAGCCTTCGGAATTAATAATGAACGGTAATTCAAAAGGAAACATTCATGAGAAAGAAGTAGGGCTAACCATAAATGGAACTAAGTTTATCTTTAGATCTTCTATTCAAGAAAAAGTAACAGAAACATGCTGCCAATAGATAAGTAGGATAAGGAAAACGATACCTGTGTAAGCAGATCGGGTCCATCCTTGAAAAGAAGCAGTTTCGATACAAGTTCTTCTATTGAGATGATATTTGGTATATTTAGAAGGATAAGTGACAATAACCATCCTAGCTCCTGCACGTTTTCCTCGCTTAAACAAGCCAGAAGCCACTCCTCTTGGTTTGAAGAGCTATCTGAAGTAACATAAGCGGATAAGAATTAGTGGCATTACTATTCACTGTTACTGTATGTACACCGTGCAACGGAAAAAGATATAAGGAAGGAATTAGGTAAGCTGTTTAGCGTAAGAATATAAAGTGAAGATAATGTAAAGTTGATAAAATGTCATTCTCTTCTACACAGTACATAGGCACAGTACTCTATCTTTAACGTAGAATACGCACATTCATAAAAAAACAGAGAAATGGTTACGGAGAAGTCCCGGTAAAACCAGGATACACTTTGAGAAGACTATTGAAGAATATAATATCGCAGCACGAACTCCAAATATGGGCGTATTCCATGTAATATAGTTAAAACATTCGACATTTTTTTCGGACGAACAAATATCAAATATTCGTTGGTAATAAAAAATCTTGAATGAATGAACAATACTGAATATAACTGCCATAAAAAACTCG